TGTGGCTGCCTGTGAACCCAGAGAAAGGGGGGGGAACGGGAGGGGCTGGCTGGGATGGCAGAGGCTCGAGTGGCTGCGTTAAATAATTCACCCCAGACTGGTCTTGAATAAATAAAAGAAACTCCAACCGGGGGGGGAGGTGGTGGCAGCAGAGCCGTGTCCTCCGTGCCCAGGACACTGTCCCTGTGGGTCCACATTTCGGGGCGGGGGGGGGCTGAGACAGTGATGGAGAGAAGAAGGGGACAATGGAGAAGAGAAGGGGACAAGGTTGTCCCCTTCTCCAGCTCCTGCATGGTGGTGGGGGTCAGGTTGCTGCTGATGTACCCCTCGGGGCTCTGCTTTATACCCAGCTGAGCCAAAACTGGAGATTTTGGGTTCTGCTTTATACCCAGCTGAGCCAAAACTGGAGGTTTTGGGTTCTGCTTTATACCCAGCTGAGCCAAAACTGGAGATTTGGGGCTCTGCTTTATACCCAGCTGAGCCAAAACTGGAGATTTGGGGCTCTGCTTTATACCCAGCAGAGCCAAAACTGGAGATTTTGAGCAGGAAAATTAAGAAAAAGAGCCACTGATGGCATCGGTGCCACCAAACCTGGGCTGTGTTGTCCCGGAGCCTGTTTTTTTTTTTTTTCCTGGTATATCTTTCCAAAATGAAAATGCCCTTGGCACCCTGTGGGGTTGCCCGGAGGCGGTGGGAGTGGTGGCGATGGCCGAGCCCCTTCCCCTTTGGATCCATCTGGGGAGCAGATGGAAATAGCAGCGGGATCCCAGCTGCAGAGAGAGGCCACAAACCGTCAGGACGCGGGGCCCGGGGAATGTAGGCAGGGAGATATAAATATATATATAGAGAGAGAGAGAGACACAGACGTATGGATGATGCATCGCCGGCTGCTGGGGGCTCCGCCGTGCCAACAGCCCCCAAAATACTTCTTGCCGAGCGGCAAGGTGTGAATTTTTGTCTGCTTTTTTGGCTCCTGGCCCTCGTGTCACCGGTGCCACTTCAATGCCTGGATGCTGGCCCGGCTCCTTTCGCCAGCCCCGAGCAGAAAAGGCTGGGGGGGTGGGAAGAGGCTGCATGGAGGCAGAGATCCCCCCTCCTTGGGTGGCAGGGACCCCCCTCCTCAGGTGTCAGGGCTTCTGGATCCAGCCCCTGCTGTAGGGGACAGGTTGGTGGCACCCGAAGCCACCTGCACCCCTCGAAGGGCTGGCAGGGGTCTGCACGGAGCAGGAAGGTTGTACAGGTCTATAGGAGTCCTGCAGGGCTAGCACCCCGCAGGGGGTGGTGGTGATGGATAATTAGCAGCTAATTAGCTGTAGCCCCCTCCCAGAGCGATGGTGTGACCCCAGTGTGGGGCTGGGAGCCACCCGCTGCCACAACCAGCACCCCGTGGGGCTGGGGGTGCCCCGTGCCAGGGGCAAGGCTGCCCGGGTGGCAGGAGGGACCGACACCACGTCCTTGTCCCCCACAGGCAGACCCAAACCCCAAAAAAGAGGGAGCTGAGCCCCAAATTCAGGGGGAAATGGAAACGGGGCCTCGTTAGCGCTGGAAAAGGTGAGGGGGGTCCTTCTGCCAGGTCTAAAATAGCAGCAGTTCCTGCTGCAAAGTGGGGGGAGGAAAGAAAAGCCCAAAAAAAAATGGGTAGCATCTGCCCCGTGAGCGTGGGAGAGGATGTGGCAGGAGGGCTGGCTGCCTCCCAGCCACCAAACCCAAACCCCTGGCAATTAAAAGCGGATGCCGTGGTCTGAAACCTCCAGAAAGTCCCAGCCCCTGGGGAGAGAGCTCTTCGGGCTCGGAGGAGGAGGAGGAGGAGAACAGCTTTGGGGACAGAGAGGAGGAAAACAGGACCCACTCCCCCCTCCAACCTCAAAAATCAGAGGAGCTGGGAGTCCTGCCCCAGCACCAGATGATCTTGAAGGTCCCTTCCAACCTAGATGATGCGATGATTTTGTGTCGCTGTGTTTTCAAGGGTTCCCAAACAGGCTCTTCCCTGCCACAGACCCCCCCTCCCAGAGAACCGACCCCCATCACCTTTTTCTCACACCGGTTTGTGCTTTTTATTGCTTGAATTTCGGTAGAAACAGCACTCAGGGAGGGGGAAGAGGAGGGATAAGGCGGCAGCCCGGGCTTTGGTGCCCGTTTTGGGGCAGAAGAACAGCTTTGGGGACAGAGAGGAGGAAAACAGGACCCACTCCCCCCTCCAACCTCAAAAATCAGAGGAGCTGGGAGTCCTGCCCCAGCACCAGATGATCTTGAAGGTCCCTTCCAACCTAGATGATGCGATGATTTTGTGTCGCTGTGTTTTCAAGGGTTCCCAAACAGGCTCTTCCCTGCCACAGACCCCCCCTCCCAGAGAACCGACCCCCATCACCTTTTTCTCACACCGGTTTGTGCTTTTTATTGCTTGAATTTCGGTAGAAACAGCACTCAGGGAGGGGGAAGAGGAGGGATAAGGCGGCAGCCCGGGCTTTGGTGCCCGTTTTGGGGCAGACAGAGCCAGAGCTGGGGCTCCCCTTCCCGTACAAAACCCCTTCCAGGCTTGAGAGAGGCAGCACTTGTGCCTGGGTGGAGTTTCCATCGGCTCCTTCCCGAACCTGGGGGCCAGGAGGAGCCCCCCAGGAGACTTCTCCCACCCCCCCTGAGTGCAATTCCAGCAGCAGGAGAAGGGCTCTTGGGGCTGAGAAGGGGTCTGTGCGTTTGCTCTCAAACCTTGCAGCTCTTTGGGGTGACGGGGATGCAAACGGCATTGCTTTTTCCTGTCCTGCCCCACAGAGCCAGGAGCAAAGGATACTCCTGGAGGTTGTGGGGCAGCTGCTGTGCGTGGTAGGAAGGTCCCCCGTGCTCGTGTGGCTCTCAGCAGGGCCTGCCCAGCAGGCAAGGAGGGTTTCTGGGGTCACCCATCGTGGCAGAGGGACGTTTCCCCCCATCCAAGGCACCCTGTGGTTACGTGGGAGGCTCTGAGGTGGGCTCGGAGATCACGACAGTGACCCACGAGCCCTGTGGATCCAGGTGGCAGCTCTTTGCTGTCCCAACTGGGAGATGCTGGTCTTCAGACCGTCTGTTTTCCTTCGCTTGGGGGGCTCTCCTTCTTCCCCAGCCCTACCTGGCAGACAGTGGAGGCTCCCCCATCCCTCCATGCCACGTATCTGTGGGTGCCTAGTGGCTCAGCCTTCCTCCGGGGAGGCTGGCAGGGCTGCCAAGCCCCCTTCCCCATCATCCAGCAGCGGGGAGCCATCCTCGGGGTCCACCGGTGGGGCCTCGGTGCCGCCTTCCTCCTCTTCCTCCTCCTCCTGCTGCTGCTGGAGGCTCTGCAGGCGCTCCTGCCGTGCCTCCATGAACTCCTGAGCCCCCTCGCCCACCAACCGCACCTCGTCCCCGACGCTGGGGGGCTGCCGGACGGGGTTGTGGTCGTAGGAGAGGAGGCGCAGGGCGGGCAGGCAGGTGAGGTCGGGGAAGCGGGCGATGCGGTTGCGGTCCAGGTCGAGGAGGCGGAGGCGGGCCATGCGCAGCAGGACGGGGGGGAACTCCTCCAACCGGTTGCCGTAGAGCCAAAGCCCCCGCAGGCCGGCCATGCGGGGCAAACCGGGGGGCAGGCGGGCCAGGCGGTTGTCACCCAGCTGGAGGCTGCGGAGGTCAGGGAGGCCCAGGAGGGCCCGGGGGAAGCGGGCGAGGAAGTTGCCCTCCAACCACAGGCAGCGCAGGCTCTGGAGGCGGGCGAAGGCGGGCGGCAGGGCCTGCAGGCCGTTGCGGCCCAGGTAGAGGTAGGCCAGGCGGGGTAAGCGGCACAAGGCCTCGGGCACCTCCATCAGCTCGTTGCCGTCCAGGGCCAGAGTGCGGAGGTGCTTCAAGGCCCCCAGTTCAACCGGCACCTCCCGCAGCCCCGCGCCGCTCAGGTAGAGCTTCCGTAACCCCCGTTGGGCCCAAAGGGAGGTCGGGATCCGGCCGCCCCGAACCTCCAACCGCTGCTCCTCGCCGTCCGGGCCTTCGGCCGCCGCCAGGCGCGGCCCCGCCGAACCGCCGCTCCCCATCCCCGCCGGGCGCACACCACACGGCGACGCCGCCGTCGTCGCCAAGGCAACCGGCCGCAGCCAATGGGAGCGCGGAGGGGGCGGGGTTTGTAGGTGAGAACGCCCCGCCCACCTAGAGGCCACGCCCCCTCCTTCTGGCCACGCCACGCCCTCCTTTGCCCGTGTCCCCTCCTGCTTGTCCCCTCCTTGTCCCCCTCCTGTCCCCTCCTTGTCCCCCATCCTGCCCTGCTTGTCCCCCGCCTGTCACCTCCCCTCCTTGTCCCCTCCTTGTCTCCAGCCTGTCCCCACTCTGTGTTCCACCCTCCCCTCCTTGTCCCCGCCTTGTCCCCCTCCTGTCTTCTCCTTTTCCCCTCCCTTTCCTCCCCCTGCCC